TGTAGCACAAAAAAGTAATTTTTTTCTGCAGCTGTCAGCATGTGTGGGTCGTGTTTGTCCTTCAGTTTGATCAGTCAAGGTTAGGCCCATTAACTGACCACACTATTTCTGACACGATTCTCTTGTCCATAACCCTTCCACCCCCCCATGGAGACTTAAGCCGTGAACCTGGTGTGTTATTGCCGCTCAGTAAAACCCCATGATGCTAATTAAGCAGGCAAAGTGAATGGTTTCCAATGGAGTTTTACAGCTACTGCTACCAGGACTTGTGTTTTATTAGTGACTATAAGGGTAATGTTTAATACTGCCTGTAAGGTGTGTGTTAGGTGATATCATTTTACACACCACCACTTAGATTTGATCTGCCAGTGATAGCTTTTAAAGATAAGGTTGCAGTGGTTTAAGAGGCAGTTAAAGGATGGGAAAGATTTGTGTAACGGATGTGTGTCTGAAACCCTTTTGTATGAGTGGGAGCTTTGAATATATTTCAATCTGTATGTGTGTGGTTTTTTTTGTCATATCAGTCTTTTAAAACATTCCTATCACCAAGCTTTATATGTCATCCCAGCAACTGTCAAAAAACCCATCTCTCCGCAAAACAATCTTGTCACCCATATTCCATCCAAACATTGACATATCTTTTTTCCTCCCCTTCCCCATGAACTTCCCCTCCCTTACCTCCATCCATCTCGAACCTCCCACATGCCACCTACACCTCCACCATGCCAATTAACAACAGAGCCACGGTCACATCGTGCTGCTCTTTGACCCCCTTCCGTGCCTGTCGGAGCACAGAAGAACCGAGGCCCGCGGCTTCAGTATTAGTTTATCACAGGGCCCTGTCGTGCAGCTCTGTGATAGATGGGTCCTGGTGAGCAGCTCTGACCCACCGTGCTGCAGATTTCACTTGGATGGTGTGATGGAGCATTGATTATGATGCTACTTGTGACAGGGGTTGAATCAGGCCTGAGCTGATGGTGGCAGGGAAAGACAAAAGACACAGAGGTTATGGATGAGGCTCTGTTAGTTAATGTGACGGGATTTGATTTGTGCTCTATCGATCATGTCATCACGCGAGATTGTTTTCATCAAGCATGATTTATAAGCATGTAGTAGGCAAACATAGTAACAATTTGTCACCTCATTGGTACAACAAAGAGGTCTCAAGCATTGAAGTGTGAAATGAGAAATGTAATATGTACTGAATTGCTAATAGACATTATCAGATATTTTTCTTCTTAAGCATAGCTATGGTAAATTATCTCTAATTTTCTTGAATACATTGGTGCCTCAGCCTTTTGTGTCCTGTTGGCAACTATTGTAAAGCTTTCATGAAGAGATGTGTTATCGTTTGATCCCCTAATTTAAGTCAAAGGTCCTCAACCAGGAGGAGATTGTACTTTATGTATTTCTAGGTCGTAACAAATTGATGAATGGGATATAAAAGAAAAAAAATGCTATTTCTTGTTTCCATTGTCAGTTTCTTTCAGACCTAATTTTTATACTGCAACATCATCCAGTTATAATAGTTATTTCAAGCCTTTCAGGACTTTAAGAGATTTTCAAACGACAACATTTTAGAAAGAAAATGACTTTGGTTGGACTTCTCAAACAGACATGTAAAACGTGTAGCAATGGGTTGTTGGAAAACACATAAACAAAGAGGATATTCTATTATTGTTCAGATGTTTTTAGCCATTCGTTGAAATGATGAATGATGGGAGTTTCGGTGTTTTATTCGATAGGACACTCGTTTAACATTCAGATTAGAGACACACAAAGTTCATACTAGCCTAAGGAGTTGCCTTAAGAGTTGCTTTATGTTGCAGGAAGGACTTATTTTTATTTAAGTCCCTTTAAAATTATATAATAGAAAAGAAAGCACAAGGAGAAACACTTTGAACAAATAAGCAGGGTGTGAAAGAAAACAGAGTGCATGGGAGCAAATCAGTGAGCGCACAGGAGGTGGGTGGGGGACCTGACACAGCAAAATCCACCTGTTTTCATCCCTCTTGCCTCCTCCTCCCCGCCTCTTCTCCTCCGCCCTCGCTCCCAGCTCAAACTGCGGCAGTCGGCTAATTAAAAAACATGGCGGCCCTTAATTATTCAGCTGCTGGCTAATTGATATTCGCAGAGGCGTTCACCCTGCTTAAACGCTCAGTTTAATCTGACCACCACGGTCTCACTCTTAGTCTTGCCTGTCACCCTAAGCCATTGTGTTACTGTACTTAATATGAGGCCAGGGGAGAGATGGACATGGTGGGTGATGTAAAAGTTTGCTATTGTTAATGTGGTTTCCTGGGCTGCAAATAGCACCATGTGGAGTCGGCCTGCGCCCAGTGGGACAGTTTTACTTGAGTGTTTAGTATTTTGACTGTGTTTTGTTCTTTTATGTCGAGGTTGGCTGCACAGTAAAATTAGACTTGGTGAGGCTAAATTAAGTTGACTAAATTACATCATGTGGACTTGCAAAGTTTTGAAATCGCTTTTAAAATGAGGGTCAAATTCCATAAAACGAATCCTTATCAGAATGAACAAAGAAATCCAGTCTTTTGATGTCAACGATTAGGTGATCCATCTTAGTTTTTGCCACTTTATAAAAGTAACATTGAATTGGATAACCTTGATCTGGATGCAAGCCTTTTAAGTTCACAATTTAGGAAAACCAGTGCTCTAAATGAGACTACATACATGCACACTAATTTCTCTGTATGCAACTAGCTCTGTAAAATACAGGAAGTTAATATATAAATACAAACATCCTCTTCTTCTTTACTTTCTTTTAACCTCAGACCTCTTAAAACAAATAAATAATAGCTGAAAAATAGTTGAAGTTATGATAAACAAACCCTGGACATAAAGAACAGGATCTGACCTCTGACCACAATTAAGGAGGTTGTATCCAGATAGAAACCAAAACTGGATTTCCTGATTAAACTGATTTTTCATGATTGATCTAATCTATTTTCATGAATTTATCCAATCTAAAGGGGGAAATCAAATCATATTAATTCAAGTCAACTACTCCCTTGAAATGAATCTACTAATTTACTTCAAATGATTTTCTTGTCTTAATTTCAAGGCTGTGACATTTGTGAGAGCTTCTTGGTCTCCTGATTCTTCTGCTTCACTCCTCTCTTCCTCTCTTTGCTTGGTAATAGTCTTTTTCCCTTAGACTTCTTTCTGAAGTTAGAGAGACACTCTCGGCCCGGGCTCCATGTGCCATCCAACAGCCACTTCTCCATTCTTGACACCACCAATGATAAATCACCTTCGATTGTCCTCTTCCTCTTTGTGTCTTATCTCTCTGTTCATTTCACTCTCAAGTTCTTTTCCTTGTCAATTTCTGCCCTTCGCTTCCTCTTCCTTCCCCCACCACCCTTACCCCAGCTCTCCAGCTCCTCCACCACCACCACCACCACCTCCTCCTTTTAACCAAGACCGCCTCTTCATTAGGCGAACAAAAGGTGTGTGGGCAGTGGTGAAGTCTGTCCCATTGTTTGGCCTTTAGTATGATTAGATTATCTCTAAAGTCTGCTGAATGGGGTTAATCGGTCGGAAGTAATCCTAAAATAGTGTGTGTGTGTGTGTGTGTGTGTGTGTGTGTGTGTGTGTGTGTGTCTGCAGTCAAGAGCCTGGCCAACCTGCTCGCATAGAAATTGAACAAACTCACGGCAAAGAAAAGACGCATATTAAACACAAAAGTGAGCAAAAAAATCAAATCCCCTTGGTACACATTTCTCCCCTCTTTTAATGACCCCTTTAGTCTCGCCTTCAGTATGCATTTATCTCCTGGCGCCGCTCTCTGTGGGTACAGCTGCTCCGGCTGGTGTGTGTATTTGAGGCTGATGTGTGTTTTTCACAACAGCGTATAAGCACTTGTTTGCGCCTTTTTTGCGTGTGTGTGCAATGTTTTTGTCTGTCTCCTGCAAAGTCTTAAGTCGCCACCTCACAACATAACGTCAAATATCTTCTGTGTTTCCCCTCCATCCCATCATCTTCTTTGTCTTAAATTGAGCTGTTGGTGGACGACAGTTTTTTGGCACCTTGGCCAATTTAATCTTGTCCCACAAAAATTGGTTAATCTGTCATACAAGCCATGATTGCTGGCTTTGAACCAATAACACATTTTAAGGACTTATGGGATGTATTTACAGAATGTGCACTTCAGGTCCAGATAGCTTTAGCTTCTGTACAACCCTTGCTGCATAATTGCACTACAGACTTGTAGGGACACACAATGGAGACGATTGTCTGATGCACCAACGAGGCTTGCTAATGCTAGGTTGTGCTGAGGACAGGTAAGACAGGAGCAACTTGTTCACAGTGTTGCTTTCCTGAGTGTGATAAAGCGATTTTTTTTCTCCCTATCTGGATCTGGAGAGGACATAATGTGTGTGTGCAGGTGCCTGCCCGCGCGTCTTTCACATAGCGGGAAAGCTTTGAGCATCCCCTTGACTTTGAAACTTCCCCCACTCAACGCGAGGACAGCCCCCCCTCAGTGACACTCGTCGCCGCTCCTCATCACAATGCATGGAGCAACACCGCTCCGCCTGCAGTGCATTGAGTAGCCAAACACAGATGGTTATCGGTGTAGTAGAGATTGGATGGGGTAATGCAATTTTTCTTCTCCATGCGGCGTGTTTTCTTCCTATAGCACTCAAAGCGTGAAGGCTTCAAGGTTTCACGGCTTCTTTGCAGGGCTGCTTTCCATACGAGAGTCCTCTGCAGTATGCTGGTTTAATGTATGTCGCGGTGCATGTGCATACAAAAGTGGATATATACCATACATGTTTTGTGTCTGTATATGCCAGGGAGAGAGGAGACTTTTGAGGATGAAGTGTGAGAATCCAAGCAGAGCAGTGTGAAATCCAGTCACCCTAAGCCTCTGAATACTAAACCTTTCCTAAATGTCACTGTAAAGAACTTTATGGATGAATTAGTGCCTCTTTGAACTCTTTCTTTTCCTTCTGTTTTCTTTCAATGCTTACATTGTTCAGGAGATGGGACGCAAGGTGAGTCTTGAGGTCTGTACCTTCTCCTAGTCTGTACAGTTCTGTTTCTAAGTTCATAAGGCTTTCTCTTCTCTTTTTCTGCTTCTTAGACATTTGAATATTTATCTTCAGCAGATATTCAACGTATCCATATTTTGATATCCTGTTTTCACAACTGCCTTGCTCAAAATATTTAAAAAAACCAAGATGATTTCAGCGCCTTTCTGAGACTTAAAAAGCGGGGACATTTATTTTGGTCTTAAAAGTGAGGATGAACCCAAATTATTATTATCATTATGTATTGTTTGGAACACCATTCCTTTATCCAAATGAGTTCCAACTCATCCAAAGACATTAAAAAACCCATGTGTTAAAAAATGTATCAAACTATTAAGAATAAAATAGAAACTATTAAGTCTTCCTATAAACTCTGTTGTTCGGTCTGTAAAGAGAGTAACATTTTCCTCGTGATTAGTACAAGTTTTACTTCCATTTGATTTAAGCCATTAGCCCCTCTATTCAAGTGTGAGGGTGTGCTTTTTCCCCTTTTCTTAAGAGCGGATACATCCAGGTCTTATCTCTTCTGTACATCACCCAGAGACTCTGCCGTACATTTAGTGAAGGTCAAAGTAGAGAGGAGGACAGTGCAGATTGGTAGGCTGTGTAAATATATACGCCAGACCATACTGCTTCTACTCACTGAGAACTGATGTTATCCTCTTGGCCTGATAGTGGTTTGGCTGAAGATTGAACACAACAGGACAAAGAAACACATGCAGTACAGCTACACCATCATCAGTCTCACACACTTGGACACAAAGTTGTATTTTCTTGTATGCAGTGAAATGTGCACATATGCCCATACATGTAAAAGTCAAAGTTTCTGTACACGCTATAAGTCAAAGTGTGTCTTTTTTCCTTAATGTTCTTAATGTTTGTGTGTTTAGGCCAAGCAGCTGGAAGCCAGAGAAGCGGACCTTAAGAAGCAGGATGTTTTCTACAGAGAGCAGGTGGCCCGGCTGGAAGAGAGGGTAAGACAGTTTTCTCCCGTTTACCTGTGGGAAATATGCCCATATATGGACATGCTAGGTTACATTAATGTACAACACTCTCCAGCATTTAAAAAGAAACTGAAAGTGATGATATCTGATTCATCTTCAAATATTTCAATACAATAGCTTCTTTTTTTATGTTGAGCAAGCAAAGCACTCCAGAGAAAACAAGACTTTTCTTCTACACATAACTACAAACGTACCATAGAATAGTGAAGAAAAACAACACCAAAAAAAAAAGCTCGACTAACAAGAAATATCCCGATGGGTAGAGAACAGAAAATATCCATTACACAAAAGAAGACAAAGTAAAAACTAAATGCTGCATTAAACAGTCACCAAGCGAGTTACATCATTGTTATTTCCACAAACATACATCACACACTGCAGCACAAGTTTTTGCCTGGGGAAAAGCTTCCATAACGTACCTCTGTTAATGTATAATGCACTTACAGCAGTGCACACAGAAACACATTTCACGGTTTACCCACAAACGAGCGCACAATTGAGACAGCCTCCACAGAGGGCTCGGTCACCACTGGGCTCAGCCAAAGTATAGTCACATTTCTTCTTTTTCTTTATTCCTCTGCCCCACTGTTTCTGTTATCGTCCTTCAACTTAAACTCTGCGTGCTTTCCCCAGTGTGATATACACCGCTCTCTTTCTTGTTCTCTGCCTCTCCGTAATTGTCTCTCTGCCGCTCTTTTGCTCTCTGGATATCACGTTTTTTTTTCTGTAATTCCTCCGCCTGAAGGATAAAAGGTTACATCTCCTTCATCCCTGGGTGTGTCCTTCTGTCCCTGAAAATGACACTACCCTGATGTTCCTTGTCAAACCTGCGTCCTATGGAGGAGGACAAGGGTCAGCTGCCACGCTTAGCCGGCTTCAATTGGCAGCTCCATGCTGGTCCCAGTGAGAGATGCCTACAAGGGGGTGAAGAAGGGTCAAATGTCCCATTAAAGTGTGTTTAAAAAAAAAAAAGGACACCTTCTCGCTCCTCAATTTATACATGTGTCTTAGGAAGGATACAGAGTCCTATTTAATGTGCTTAAAATGATGCCATCATATGGGAAAGAGTCTCTACTTTTATAAGAGTGTTTAAAGTCTAAAGTTCGGGAAAGTTTGCCCATTGTGACTCCAGATTTTCATTTAATATATGAAAGCATTCTTATTCTTATTTTTGTCCTTGATCTCACAAGGATTCAATCATGATTTTGTCTTCAAACCATTGGCTTAAAAGCATTTTCCTGGTAAAAAAAAACCCCCCACAAATCTTGAGTATGCTAACTCATGCATGCGAACACATGATTAAAATGCAGATCACTTTAAATATAGCCGTTTTTATTGTTGCTGTTCCTAATCTTGTTTCTTGGCAGATTAAAGAGAAGAACACTTTTAAAGAATCCAGTTTCAGTGAAATAGTTGTAGAATATATATCCTGTGCACTTCTTAGTTCATGTTGCACACAAGACATTTCTCCAAAGATTTCATTTGTTTTCTTTCCCTCATTGAAGATGAATTGTTAAGCCAAGCCAGTGGGTATTGAGTGGTAGTAGACGTCTGCCAGTAATTGGAAGTGCACTGGTCTATACAGTTTTGGTAGGGTAGAGGAAAAGATGCCATTGGCTGATATGGGTCATTAGAAAAGAAGACAACCACTTTTAGAACCGGAAATTTGGTCAAGTGTTTCCAAAAATCCCAAGACGTAGAAATAAAATGAGATGTTGGCAGGCTGTTGCATTGCACATAAACCAAACAGATCCTGTTTTATTGTTGAGCTTCACTCTAGTCCTCAGCTCAACTTGTATTATTACATCTTGGACAGTGTTTCTGTACAGCCAATTCGACTGCTGATAGTAGAAGTGATGACTCCCAACTAACACAGCCATTATCGACTTCATGCACTGGCCATCCATCAGCCATGTTGGCCTCTGGTCAATATTCCTTAGATCAAAGTGTCAACAAATCACCTTCACACCTCAGAGAGAGACAGCAGACTGAGAGAGAGAGAGAGAGAGATGGACAGGCAAGGAACGAGATCCTCTATTGAAGATGGAAAAAGAAAAACTAGACATTCAGTGCAAGAAAGTACAAGATGGAATAAAAACAGAAGAGTTGGAGACAAATTTGAATTACAGATATTCTACTTTTGAGGTGTCGTCTAAGTTATGAAAACTTGACATTTGTGAGTGATGTAGGATAAGAAAATAAAAAAGACAATATTAAAAATATGTAAAAATGTCAATGGCCATATCTAAGGGTCATTACATTACAGATAAGTAAAATAAACAGAAGTTGGATGTGTTGCATAAAACTGATTTATTTATTGATTGATGCACAGGTAGCCACTTTTATTTGTAAATACTATCAGGACTTATGGCCTATGGAGGCAAAACACAACAGAAGTGGGAATCATATGAGCGTTTAGTGTGATGGCCTGCAATCCTGTGTGTAACTGAGGAGCAGTGGTGGGCATATTGAATGTTGTCTAATTGTGCAGCAAGCGGCTTGGGACTCCATAGGGGGTGCAGTTTGTTTGGACTGTGTTAATCACGCTCCTTTTTCTTGTTCAGGCCACAGAGCCCTGTTAGGATTCTCTATTTTCTTCCTGTTTTCCTTTTGCTAACTGTAGCCTGGCAAAATGAACTTTTAGAGCATAGTTTCAAAAAGTAGCCCAAAAAGGATGGGGAAAAAAAAAATGTTTTAATTATAGCTTAGTACAGATTTGGCATTCCAAAGATAAAGTACAACAATCCAAGGGACGCGCAGACAAAATACATTAAAAACAAACATTTAAATACATTAACTTTGCTTCACCCTCAACCCATCTGCTTCCCTTCACCTCAGGATTCCCTCAGCATCTTCCACACATGTTAGACAGAGGGAGAGCAAGCGAGAGAGAATATAAGTCTGATATATATTACACGTCTGTTTCAATCCAACATGGCCATTCATCAGAGGGGCTTCCAGTGACAGGCCATCACCAGGCTCCCGGGCAGCTCAGACTGCTGCCTCTGCTGCCGCCGCTCATTCTGGCCACAGCTACCAAATAGCCCCTGAAAACAATATCTATATATTTATTACATTTTCACTCAATACCTGCCCGGCTGTAAAACAATCTCATATTTAACAATCAACTTGTCCATGTTTTTTTTTCTTTCTTTTTTTAACCACAGCTCTTCTAAGCCCTCCCACGCCGTCTGTCTGTCTCTCTATATCGCTTCTTTTTCTTTTTTTGAGGGATGTTCTTTTTTCCCCCTGTATGCCTCTATTTCATTTTTCAGAAGAGATTTGTCTTCTTCTTTTTTCTATCTTTCTTTTCGCCTTGTATATCGATGAAATTGGATTTTTCTGCTCTCCCATGGAGGACAATCACTGCAGCAATTGCCATCTCATAGCAAAGTTCCACAGCACAGTGAAAGGAAGAAAAACAGGGGGAAAGAGCATTAAAAAAACAGTAATAGCTTCTATCTCTCTATCTCTCTCTCTCTGGCTATGACTTGCTATCTTCATCTCCCCCTCTGTCTGTCTGTCATCTTTCCTCCCCTCTCCCTTTCAATACTTTCCTCTTTATTCTTTTTTCTGTGGACTTGAGCATGACTCATGGTAAGTTTAAAATGTATTTAAAGTTGTTTTTTTGCTCATCTTGATGCTGTTTTGTAGCATCAAAGATGTTTTATTACATCTCTTCTAACATGAAGCGATCAGTGCAGTCTCTCTGGCTCTGCTTGCGGTGTGAGTGGAGACACAAAATCGTGAGGAACCACGACAGTGAGCTGCAGTGTTGAATTATTGTGTCTGAGACTGGATTCAGAGAGATATTCCATGAAGTCTTTACAGAGGAATATGGATATCTCAACAAAGAGGAAAATTGGTGTAAAATAACCTTTCAGTAGGCTGAGATAGGGCTCAGGGTTTTTAATAAAAAAAGAAAAAAGAGGTCAGAAATGTTGATGCAAATTTTGGAAAGTTTCTAGGCCAAAGATATGAAGTGTTATATTGTATCTAAATCATATTGTGAGGTGATTCAACATCCCTGTCCTCCTGTTTGAATATGACACATTAAGTTATTGTTAAAGCTGTCAAAGGATAATTTTTTTCATTACACAGTTACAGGTGGCTGTTGGGCGACCTGTTTAGCTGTGGCCTGAAGTAGGAGTTAATATTGAAATGCAAGAGTAGCAACAGTTAACCAGCCGTTTTGCTATCCTTGTTAGCAAGTTGCATAGAGCCCCACAGTAGATGTCTAATTTGTCTAACTCTGCAGAACCCTAATGTTTGCACTGGTGGGGTTTCTCCCCATTCCGGCCCTCCTGCTCAGCAGCAGATAAGAAAAAGCACCATCAATACATGGAGTTATTTGTTTTATTCATTAAAAAATGGAGCCCTTTTCCCTCTAAATTGAGCTTGCAGCCCGTGTTGTGGTGCTGCTTCTATCTTCTCCATATCGCCGCGGTGCATTAGCGGTAATGACTTAATTTGTCTATGACACCACCCACCAGCGTTTTGTTTGGCTGCAGATGAGCTCAAAAGCAAGTAAATAGAGGAAATAAACAGGGAAAGTGTTTTAGAGGTAGACACTTGATTGCAGATGGGAAAAACAAAGTGCCCGATTCTTGTTGCTACACAATTCTGCCCATCCTTTGCAAAGAAAAGCTTAACACCAATCAAAAAGAAAACAGTTTTGGTGGAATTTAAAGGTAATATTCTGCATTGTTATCTCTCTTCTCTGGGCTTTAAAAAGCGACAGGGCTGCTTCTTAAATCAGTTGGGGCAGCAGCTGGAACTCACAATTTGAGACCACTCAGTAATCACACAAATTACGCTGCTCTCCTCCTGGTGGTTACTGAGTGCTTCTTTTTGTGCGACACTGTTTATATCCAGCCAGCAGAGTATGTGTAGACACTTTTGGCAGCATGTCCACGCACATGTACCCATGCTGTGTGTGTGTGTGTGTGTAAGTGTGTACTGTTTGTGTGTGTTTTGAAAGTGGTCCTGCAATCATTGTCACACATGGCCTTTTTGTCCTCCCTGCTGGATTAGAGCGCTGATTAGTGCCAGCTCTGCCATTTAGCCAGGTATTATTACCTAATACTTGGTATTCTAGTCAGACCACAATCCAGCTCCTTTTTTGACTCGCACTCTTCTCTTCCAGTGGCTCAATCGCTGCACCCAGGAGAAGTCTTATTCTTGCCTCTTTAGCAGTGCCCAAATCTCTTTTTAGTCTTTTTATCTGTGAATAAGCTTCTCTGTTAAATCCTTTTTCCTTAGCTCTTGACAGTTTCTTTGTCTACACAGAAAAGCACTTGATTCAAGGCCAAGAGGGCACAGATTCAGCATGAGCTTACAAGTTAACTCTTAAACTTTGGGTAGACTGCTTTACGGTGTTTTACACGCAAACCAAAGTCAGCCTGAGGGACAACTGCAGTGGATCGGTTGTTGTTTCTGATGCATCAGGCAAAGTCTTTTTTCTTTGTCTGCACACTGCACAATAATGACAAATTGAAAGCACTTTTACAAAATGTCAAAAATACTCTCTGATTACCAGTGATATGTTTATGGATGTCTGTCAGGAAATGTGTTCTGTGTATTTCAGGGGATGTAATGAGGGTTACTCATGGGACACGACAAAAACTATAAATCATTTTAAATCAATTCAATTTGACAGTTTGGACTTGAGACATCTCAGTAATGGAAGGAAACAAAATGAATCTATTAAATTTGTCACAGCAATTGGTAAAAGTATATTTAGAGTAGTTTTCATATAAACCATTTTTGTACAATACTGCAAAAGAGCTCTAAAACCATTGCTTTTGTGTATTTAAAGCAGTCTGCATACTAATGTCCAAAAAGAATCGAACATGTTTTGAAGTGTCTGACTTTACAGAGAGTGAAAAGAGAAGGACTCTGAATCTTTTGCAAACCCTTGGTACAAGTGTCCCTCTAAATGTATTGGGCTCAAATCTGTATCAGACTTTTTGTCAGCTTTGTCATGTTCCATCTTCTTTTAGCTCTCCAACACATGACTATTGATCTTTTCAGCAGCGCTGTTCCTTCATATTGAACCTCTCTGAACAATGACGAATATCTTCCCTGCTAGGAGGTTAAGTTGGGGCAGATGGGACCAAGAGGCTTACGTTCTTTGTATTTTTAGTGGGCCCTGAAAAGTACAATATTGGTTGAGATTTCTCCAAAACCATGTTGAAATACCAAATCTTCATGCACAAGTTTTTTGCAAGGATTTGTCTCAACCCATTTTCCTATGGAAAGTCTGCTCATACTATTGGTATAGTACAGTCAAAGAGATCTTAAACCAAGCACTGCAACCAACATAAAAATACACAAGAACTCTATTTTTCTGATGTGTAAGGAATTACTTTGACTGAACAGTTTTTTTCTGAATTGTTAGTGCAACTATTATAGTTACTAAAGTCGCTCCGTTTGTAGGAGGAATTTGACAGACATTGCATAATCTTCCCCCTGAATCAAACGTCATACAACTCTCAATCAAGCCATCCATCACTCTTTACAACCTCTCACCATTTGATCATAAATGTGCTGAACAGCAGCTGGGGGCTGACAAAACTGATCTTGCTGGAGTAGTATAATTTTAAAAGGAGCTGGGTTATACAGCCATGTTTGAGGAAGTAATTCAGGTGAAGGGGTTTCTGGCTATGGGTTCATTTGTTATGGGTCACCAGGGGATTATGACCAGTGGTCTTTATGTTGTTGACTAGCGACCCTCTGACCTTACAGGATTGTTTTCGTGATATTACAGCAGTCGTTTGCTAGCGGAAAACCACAAACACACGCTCAAAAAAACAGAAATGGACTCCACTTACATAGCGCTTTTCTTGTCTTCTGACCACTCCAAGTGCTTTTACCCGACATGTCACAGTTACCCTTTCACGCACGCATTCACACACCAGTGGAAAAGGCTGCTTTACAAAGAGGCCATCAGAAAAAACTGATCAAATTTATGCATTTTGATACGTCGATGGCTAAGCTTTCTGGAGCATTTTGGGTTTCAGGGTCTTGCCCACAGACACTTTCACAAGAATTATTTATGGGGAACACATGATAGTAGTAAATATTTTTTTATTCTGCATTCCTACAAACATACTCCCAACCTACAAACCATAGCCCCTCTCCATGAAGTACTAAAGCAGTCACTGCATATAGAACTATATTATATCTGAACTTTTAAGAGGTATCACTTTGCTTGAATTTCCCAGTTGCGTAAAAGGCTCAATTCTAGAAGCAGAAAGATGTGAATAAATTGGATGGATAAGAGATCTAAACTCCTTCTTTGTGCATTTCTATCACTTACTGGATCACTTTCTGTCTCTCTGCAGAGTGCTCAGTTCTACAAGGTCACCACTGAGAACTACCACAAAGCTGCCGACCAAGTGAATGCCAAGTTCAGGTAAGTAAAGACACGCTGATTCCTAGATTGAAGGCTTTGAAATATTTTACAAACATATTTTTCTAGCCCTTTTCAAAAACCTCCTGAAGCTGAAGAATCTTTTTTTTCACCCCTCGTATTTCTAAATCTTGATGCAAGAAAGGCTTTTGTTAAATGCGTGGTTGTTCATTATTTAGTGACCCTTGTAGGTCACTGAAGAATCGAGACCCATATGGACCATTGAACACAGAATTGAATTATCCTTACCACATCCTGACCCACATCTTTCAATCAGACCCACATTAGCTTGTGCCATTAGCTGATGTTGATGATGTGGTTTGCTGATAAGCCTGATCGCATGTTGGTGGTAGTTGACAGGGCTTTTCTTGTGCTCTTTTAATTTTTGAGTATTAGAAGAGGATCATTTGGGTTGAAGAGCTTTATCTTTGACAAGACAATAGTTAAACAATTTATAGCAGCATTTCTCAGGCCATAACCAATGTGAAGCAGAAAAAATAGGGCCGCTTCTTTTGTTTCATTTATGACTACTTTACCCACAAACATAGGTTTTTATTCCAAGACATGATAAGCTGTTGGATTTTATTTTATACAGAGATCCCGACAGCACCACTAATGGATGTATAGTCCTCACTTTGATATTGCAACACTATGATCTGATTACATGTTATGGCCACACCTTGCAGCGATATATATATTTCTTTTTTTACTGTTAAGCAGCCATGCAGTCATGGATGAAGCACATAACCGAAACATATATGTAACTCAAGAAGGTGTAGAATCGCTCTCCATCCCTGTTCCATCTGTCTTCTTAATAAGAGGCCATTAGGCTCCATAGTAATGTAGGGAAAGTGGATGAGGAGCCGGCAGGAGGTGGGGCAAGAATGGGGCCCTGACTCTGAGCTCTCCTCCAGGGAAGCTAGGCTAATTGTGTTAGCATGTCATTAGCCAGCGCTAACACTGGGATCATTGTCTCCCTCAGAAATGCTGGAAACTGATTAGCCTAGCCCACCGGGGGTTAAGCGCTAGACTCATGGAAGCCAGAACTGAGACTTCCCAAATCACATTAAAGGAGGAGGAGGGGGATCACTGGAATAACATTAGCGCTAAATGACAGCGCTAACTGCGAGCTAGCGTAGAATGAATTTGCGGGTAGTCATGTGATTCAGGCCTTTGAATGGGGAGCAGTGATTGGCTGATTTGCCTAAAGTAGGTGCATTAGCAGCGCTGTGTGTATGCGTGTGTGTGTGTGTGTAGTAATGAAATGGCGGGAAGATCTGGTGTTACAAGACGGAAACAGGAGATGCATTGAGGGGATCAGAGCAGCAGGTTAATTGGATTTAACAGGCCGTACTTTGCCCAGTGTTATTTATGTGCAAGTTCGTGTGTGATGGGGTTTGTTTGTATGCATTCATATGTTGAACATCTCCTGTGTACCTCATGTTTGTGTCATCCCTCAAAGCTCCCTATCCCGATCTCTCTCTTTCTCTCACTCTCTATGACAGAGACCCCACCGAGATGAGACGCTATCTGTGCCCTCTGTTGAATAATAAAAGGAAATATTTTCTTGTCTCACGCAGGCTTTTGATTTCCTCAAAGTTGGAAATGCCCCCCCCCCCCCCCCGAGATTAAAAAAAGAAACGCAAGGGTCTTATCCGTACTTGATAGAATTAACATTTGATATGTTAATGTGAGGATGTTATAAAGTGTGGGAGATGACATCTTTCTTATTAGAATGGCTTCATTTCCCCGCTCAAGCTCTTGCCAGTGCCACTGTAAAGAGAATGATAGTCCTTCAGGGATTGATTAGCATTAGCACTGATATTAGGCTATGGTTTATTATAGGGGAGAAGAAGATGTGTGGGAGCATAGTTGGCTGTCTGTCGAAGGCTAAGACATGTGTATGGGTGTTTTTTGAGTATTTCATTAGGACTTGTTGGTATTCCCGGGTTAAATCTGTTATTACTGTGTGACATATAAGATATGGATAGGATTTGGAGTCTGTGTAATAACTGTATGCAACACCTCTCTTACGCATCTTTTAAAAGCTCCAATGAGGACATTGTGTATGTGTCAATTTTGAGCAACCATTTATACAAAGCAGTCCTGCTCATTTTGTCTGTACTAGCAGTGTGGTTTTTGACGGATAATAGGCGTTTTTGGTGGATTGTTCATCTACAAAAAGTCCCCAGAAATGTTTGGTTCACAAACACCTAATGTCAACCTGCTGTCTTTCACCAGACAAGTGTATCACTCATCAAGTTTCTGTGCTGTGGAAAACATAAACAGAAGCTGTTTTAGCAGCCTGCTCACACCTACCCCGCAGCAGCTGTTTCAGGCATTTAAAAACTTTATAGAAATAACCACTCTTGTCGCTGGTGGTCTCGTCGGGGTTTTGTAAGTCATAAAGAGGCTTTAGTATTAATTCCAGTTTGTTTCATGACCAACTAAGAACTCACCAAACGAGCTTTAACCTAACACTGATTTGAAACCGGATGGAATCAGGTCAAGACATTCTGACAGTTGAAAATGTCTTTCCTTTGTCTCCCCTTTGAATGCATCTCTCCTGACACACTAATAGTCTTGTCCCTTTCGATTAAAACTTCGATCACTAATGAATGTAACACTACCGATGTATATTGAACAAATAGGCTTCATCCCATGTGCACACTGACGTGTTCCATTTATTTCAGTGGCGTAGTTTGATCCTTTTCCTCTGATGTTGAAAAAGAAAAAAAAAAAAAGAAAGGTAGCGACTCAAGGGAGGGGAAAGGTGCGAGTGTGTGTCCGTGCAGTTGTTTGCGTACTCGTTGCAGCACAGCTGTTCCCTGCTGCTCTCCTGCGGTATTCCCGCCAGAGAACGATGGCGCTCACCCAGGCGGAACGCTCCTGCATCACCGTGACCTCATTACATCCACAAAACACACCTTTCTGAATACGTGGACAAACATATTATGCCTTCTTTAGCGGTTTCTCAGAGCAGTGACTTTTCAATAGTCAGAATACTGGTGCGGGGAAAAACATTTTTTTTTTGTCTTTTATCACCTCTTGCACATGCTTCAAAATCTTAACATATTTTTGTATCTTTAAATTGATATTGTTTTTTTTTTTTGTGGAAGAATTAACTATGCTGCCAACTCTGTAAGAAAAAGACACTCATATCTAAAATTGTTGCCGTAAATTATAAATCTCCTCTCAAAGAACGACACAAAATGATTTCTATATAAACGTAAATACACACAACATGTAAAAGATCATATAAATAGCGACAGTATGTTAGGACAAATGCTTTTATTCACTTTCCCTGTGACACTCACTGTAAATAAGAGTTCCCACTTTCCCGTAGAACCCAGGCTATCTCTCCCTGCACCTGATTTATATCCTGTCACGTCCACCACTAGTTGTTTATCCACGCCTGATGCATTATCTCACTGTCCAGCCCTGAAGGTGTGACCTTTACTGCACCGCATGTATATGAGAGTGCACACGTAGGAAGACCGGTGTGCTCACATAAACGCATGTGTGCTTGGGCGTGCAGTGACTTGACTGGCCTGCAGCGACCCAGCAGGGCTTTAGTTTCAAACTGACAGGCGTGGAGGAAAATGATAGATGTGAGATTATGCGAAGAAAAAAAAAAAAAAGAATGGGGAATGAAAGAACGAAGCGTGGTCCTAAGCCTCCTGTCACCGCTAACCTTTGGTGCGGCTTTGGGTGTCTTTGTTGAAGCTGGTCACTGTCACTGTTTTGTCCAGGGTCCCCGCAGAATTAAGACGAGACTGAGACGTCTTATGATAGTGAAAGGCTCGGTCTGTGTAACTCAGAGTGACACCATCATCTTTATGACTCCATCCTCCTTCTCAGGTCTCAAAAATTTGGATTCCTTTAAGCGTTCCACCTCTTTGCTTAGAGTATGAAATCAGAAAAAAAAAAGCGAAACATTTCACACTCCTTATGTGTCTGGTTTGTTCTCTACACAGTCAGCCATATCAGAGAATAAAATCTCATTTTAGTCTGCCACTTTCCTGTCACTCCTCTCCTCCCTCCAACTGCACATTAAATCCCTTTTGTTTATTTTTTTCATTTTTTTTTTTTTTTTTTTAGCTCTTTACAATGAATCTGCTTTTTCTTTATTTTGATCCAGTTGACTAAAACAGCCGCAACAGTCCTCGCTTTGTCACACCACACATACACGCAGTGAGGAGGCGTGGAGCAAAACTAAAACGGCTTGTTGTTTTTTTTTTATATCATGCGATACCTTTTTGATTTCTGCAGAACTTATTTGTCATGGAGTTGCTGCATTAGTTTTCAGTTCAGCATTTTAACAAAAAAAAAAGCATCCCAATATTACCTGATAGACTAAACCCTAATTATGTTTCTCGTTTAACTATTGTAGATTAAAGTCAAGTTTATCCCCATTAGGTCAGGTTTAAGACATTTCCTCAGAACAAAACTTCTTGTCATGATATTGTGGACATGAAATCAAGAAATCCAGTGCAACTGAATGCAATACATCACATAGCCCTGCAACAAAGCATTGCAGACCGATTGCGTTGAGAATTTGTTTTATCTTTGACATTTCTGAAGTGGATAAATAAGGTGGTGAAAATCCTGCAGGTTTCCTACAAAATCCACCTGCTGCTACAAAATGCAAATATGCTTCACAGGCAATTAAAAGCTCTCCACTTCTTGGCAGAGCTTCTGTTTGTTTAAGGATATCATATCAGTGTCAAAAAATTAATGAAGTAATGATTTATTGATGTTTAATTGAGCCAAGCTTTACTTGTAATTATTTTTTTTAAATGACAGGAACTAATTTTGATAGAAAGTTATTGCAAAAGTTGAAGTTTTCATGTGAAGTAGTCATTGACGAGCAACACTTTGACCCAGCTGTCAGGTGAGGCTGAACCACAGGTTTGTAGCTAGGCAACCAGGGCGCAGGGACAAGATGGTGGTCAGCAGAGGAGACAGAAGTCAATAACTGCTTTAAAAGCTCTTCTCTTGGC